GATGTTTTTTTCAGACTTGAATCAGCATCCTTGTGGGAGCTGTTTCCTTTCTATTTTTTTTTTTTTATTTCACAGAGAAATCATACTTTTGTGGCTCTGCTTTTGTCTTTTTTTGCTTAAAGACACAGAAAAGAGAAAATCTGCTGTATTCTCTCAGCTTCTTTTTCCTGTGGGGAGACTTAAATACACTCTTTATTTTTCAAGATTATACATAACAGATAAACAAGCGTGCATATTTTCACAGAAGTAACAACCACTCAGGCAGTCCCTGCCCCATATTCCTGCATAATCTGACTTCCTGAGAGCTTTAGAGGATCACTTTATTCCCACAAATACTTTACTGTTTGCACTTTTTAATGTCCACCCTGTGCTTGACCTGACTTGCCAAAGCATTCTCATTGTCTGCGTGACTAATCAGAGCAACATATCAGATCATCTCACTTAAGTGAGATGTCAAACTTAGGAGCTCTCTTGCCTGAGGCTCTTTAGGGGGAAGTGATTTTCAAAATCTAAATCATCCCCAGGTGCATATCTTTCCTGTGGCAGATAGAGAATGCCAGGCAGTCTGGAATCATAATTTAGGTGCCTTGATCGGGTAGGATGAATTTTAGGCTGAGGCATATAACTTTTAGGCAGAAAATACATGAGTTTTCAAAAAGTGTCAGTCCAACATGTGAATGTCTTGGAAAAGCATGGCAGAATGTGAAATACTTCTCAATTTACAAGTTCATAACTTTTTTTCTGTCCCCCTACAGAGGCTGCTACTGACCCCCCTAAGACACCTGACAGCGAACCTTTGTTTACAAAACTGCGCAATCCAAGCACAGGCAAGTTTTGGAATTGTGACATGAGCCTGTTAATGTTCTGGTTGATTCCCTCCATGACCAAAAGATTCATATTTTGCAAGCTGAAATAATGATGATAGCGTAAGTCTTATGTGCCAAAGATACTGCTGGTCATGCCAAATAGTTAATGCTGTGCAAACATTTAGGATTTCTTTTGTAATTTTAATTGGTTGAACTGTTTATTCATCAGGAATATTGGCAGCACAAAAAAGAGGTGTAATTTAAGTTCTGGTTTTAAGTGCATTAGTTTTGGGGAGCTTACAGTGTTGGGTGTTGAGCCTGGGCTTTTTTAAAATCCAAATTTAGGCTTCATAGCATTCATCTTATGCTATAAAATAAACAGCCAGAGTTAGAAGAAGTGATTCAGTTATACTTACCAAGCTTTTTGAGTCTTTTCATTTTTAAATCTAATTTTCTTCTTTCCCTGGTCCAAGTGGTGGTGTCTCTTTTCCTGTTAATAGATGATGAGGCACTTCGAATTCAAAATACATTGGCAAGACCAGCAAATACAGGCAATCTAATGACACTACCATCCCATGGTTACTTTCTTCTAGTCAGATGGTCCTTTTTTTCAAGGATTTGTTATTATTATATGAGTAATGTAATAATTGGAGTATGGGATACTGCAACAGAAGCTTGCAGTAAGCCTTTGTTAGGGTTGACATATTTTGTTTGAAAAACATGTTTCATGCTGGATTTTTTTCTTTTCATAAGCTTTCTTGTTTTCTGCAGATTTAAGTTGTATGTTTTTGTTATGAAATTCACTGTTTATATTTATATAGGTTTGTAATTAAAGTCTTCAGGTACGTTTTAATGTCACAATATAGTAACTGCTACTTGTTCTTGAAAGAAGAAAATAATTAAAAACAACAGATACAGCATCTGAAAACATTCATTGGGATACCTGTTTTTTGATTGCTTAGATTTACAGTGAGAATATATAACCACAGATATTTTCCACCTGCTGTGTTATATTGGCTTTCTACTTTATGTTTTTAAAAGTGTAGATATTAATTTGCTTTTCTCTGTGGAAGAAGAGATCTGTTTACCTCATAGAATCAGAGATCTTGGGAAAGGTTTCTGGGGAAAACCTAAAGTACAGTGGGTGCCTGGGTGTGTTCCTTTAGAATTTACAGGAGCGTATTTATAGACCTGCATAAACTTTCAGTTATGTAGCCTAATATAAGTACAGGATCTGAAAATTGAAGGACTGAGAACACCCTATTAATGTATTTTCCTTATGTTTGGGTCTAACAGATGAATTGTTGATGCCAGATATTGTATAAATATGCACTGAAGGACTCGGCACACTATAGAATTCATGCTAACCACTTTATTAAATAAAAGTATGTATGGTCCTTTTTATAGACAGGTAAAAAGGACAAAATTTCTATCCCTTACAAAGACTATAAACTAGGGTTTATAGAAGTACCACAAGAAGCATTTTTCAAAGTGCTGAACTGAAAGAAGGGAAATAACCATACCACAAGACTTAAGAGACTAATTGAAGTGGTAAATTTGTGAGCAAAGCTGCCTAGGTTCTCTCTGCATCCCCTAGAGTTTCTGTCTAATGACACAGCTGGGAACATGTGGTGACTGTCCTTTTAACATAAGCAAATATATTAAGGAGCTGGAGGTAGGCAATAAGAATGGTCCTTTTCCCAAGATTTCCTAGCTCACCACTGCATTTGGCTAGCACACTGTGCTGCTTTTGGCTGGGATAGAGTTAATTTTCTTCACAGTAACTACTATGGATCTATGTTTTGGATTTGTGCTGGAATCAGTGTTGATAACACAGGGATGTTTTTGTTATTGCTGAGCAGTGCTTACACAGAGTCTTTTCTGCGTCTCACCCCACCCCACCAGCGAGCAGGCTGGGAGTGCACAAGAAGCTGGGAGGGGACACGGCTGGGATAGCTGACCCCAAGTGACCCAAGGGATAGTCCGTACCATATGATGTCATGCTCAGCATATAAACCTGAGGGAATAAGGAGGAAGTGGGGGGACATCCAGAGTTATGGTGTTTCGTCTTCCCAAGCAACCATTACGTGTGATGGAGTCCTGCTTTCCTGGGGATGGCTGATCACCTGCCTGCCGATAGGAAGCAGTGAAGGAATGCCTTGCTTTGCTTTCACACACGGCTTTTCCTTTACCTATTAAACTGTCTTTATCTCAACCCACGAGCTTTCTCACTTTTACTCTTTGGATTCTCTCCCCCATTCCACCAGGAGGGAGTGAGTGAACTGCTGTGTGGTGCTTAGCTGCCTACCAGGTTAAACCATAACACGTGCTCACTGGTAGGAGTCTTAAATTGTTCAGTAAGCACTTCTGTGAGTAGTTTGAAGTCTGGTGTTGATCAAACTATGGTGCAGACCCTTGTTGAGAAGCACATGGTAATGATTGAAACCTTTGCTGCCCCTTATATCTACTCACCACTCCTCTCCTCCCCTCCCCAAAAGAAAAATATTGGATAACTGAAACTATATCCTTAGGTGAGGTTAAACATCTGGTCAGCCTTTTGGATAAAGGGGGAAAATGCATCATCAGTCATTTTTTGGGAAGAAATGTGTCTGTCCATTTTAGCTGACCTCCCTCTGCACCTAGGGATCTCTGCAGGCTGGAAACAGCAGTGCTGATGTCAGCTTGCAGGGGCTTACATTGAGACTTTTTTGAGCCAGCCCATGATCTGCAAGTCAGTGCAGCTTTGCAATTTATGTGTTTTGAGCAAGACTGCCATGTTGTAGTTCCTCTTGCCTCTTGAAGATGGATTGATAACCCAGACAGGACCAGTCCAGCCAACAGACTCAGCTGACCAAAGTTCAGTGGCCCCTTCTGTAGTTTTGGCAACTTCCTGTTTTGGATATGGAAAATGCCAATCCTTTTTGCAACATATTCGTCACCCTTGCGTTATAACCCAGAACTAATGTGAAACGGTAGAGCTGTGCTGTGGGGTGGCCTAAAATAAAACTTTTCGTTTCCTTTCCAAACTATCAAGATTCTGATGGGCACTTTGGAGCAACTTCTTTTCACTTCCTTGTTCACCTTATTTGTCTACCCATATTGAGTCATTGGCACTCCATTTTGATGCACAAAAAAAAAATTATTTCAGACTTTTTTTGCCCTAACCCAGATTCTGGTATCTTGAAGACAAACATGATGGAAAGAGAGGGAATTTTCTTGGTTTCCACCTTCCCCCTTCAGTACAGACAAAAGCTGATTTCTTGAGTGATTTTGATTTGGGTTTGGATCAAAGGCTTTCTGTTGTAAGATGAACTATTCACACATCTTATTTATTGATTCAAATTCAGTTTGGTTTATAGAGCTGGTAAATGAACATCTGTATATAATAGTTTTCTTTGTCTGAGCTTTCTTTGTAGTGAGTTTATGTAGAATGTGTGTATGTTTGTGTGTCTGTATGTATATAAGGCACATTCTTCAGACGTATTGGGTATTCTTTTGATTTTTGTGAAAGCCTACAAACACAAACCAGATTTCTTTTCAACAGGGGAAGCAACCCTTTACTTATTCAATAGTGGTGCACAGCAGCTGTTTGAAGTAAAAGCTTTTCATGAGGAATATCGTTCCTGGTTTATAGGTCAGACTGTTCAACAAGGTGAGTAATATAATGTATCTTTCTCCCAACTGTAACTAATGTTCATACACGGACCTTCCCTCTCTCTTGTAGTAAATTTACAGGTGTTTTTCCCAGTTGTTTGAGGCATGCTGCATCATATCCCCACCTTCTGACACACTCATTTGCCATCTGGATTTAACCAGGGCTGGGGGCTTTGTGGTCTCTCTTTAAAAGGCAGCCTTTTGCAGCCAAACTGAAGTGCTTAGCTTGCCTTGTCAATCAGACCAGCAAGTCCTCAGTGTAAGTAAAAATATATATTCTCCTACGGGAGGGAAAAAGCGCTGGAAGGCCTTAGCTAGCTAAGCAGAGTGGTGTGTTAGAGCTCCATGCATCGGAATGTATGGCCTTGCTTTCTTTTAATTACCTCCGTAGTCCCTTGTGTGAGCGCTGGCGTCTCAGAATAGGCCTGCTGTCTGAAGGTGCCATTTCAGTGTTTTGTCTGAAGTGAGCTCGTCTATACCCTCCCAGTTATTCTCTGATCCTAGCTCGTCTTTCTGAAAATGAGGAGGAAACTTATCTAACTGCTTGTGACAGCTTTAACAGTCCTTTATCAGTAAGGGATTAATTGGAGTAGTGTTTCTCTGCCAGCATGTCTATAGACCAAGCAGTAAGTATTAACTCAGGAGATGAGGGTATATTTATTTTGTCCTTTTTTAACTAGGAAAAAGACCGTTTATAGTAATAAATAAAAGCAACCCCACCAGACATATGCCTTCTTTAACAGTAATATCCCAAAGCGTGTGTTAACTTTTAAACATCCTCTGCAGGTGCATATAGCAATGCAAGCACTATGACTGTGAGCTTTTTCTTGCTCCATCTGGGGGTGAGCCAAAAGGCTGGGTCTGCTCCCTGCTCCCAATTATGTCCACATTGTATTCTCCCCCTCCCTTCCTAACCTCTCTTTTTGCCTTTGGGAAACAGTTGCCTTAAGGAATCATCGCCTCAATTTTCTTTAAAAGATACAGGGGGGAAAATTGTTCCTGAATGTTAGGGCTGCACAGTCAGGGGAAGAACAACACAAAAAAGCTGTGTGTTTGCAGTTAAAGTAAATTATCTTGTTATCTGCAGAGAAGAACAGAGGTCTTTATACATCTGTAGTGAGTCTGAACTCTTTAGAACAAATAAAAATACCTCTTCCTGGAGATACAGTGGAAAGCATGCAAATGGAAGCCTTGAGAAAGTGGCTAGTGTGTTTTTTGCTTCCAGTTTTGTCGTCAAAGCTTTCATGTTTGTAAGTAGTCCTGAGGCTTGCTTTGCCTCGCGCAATGCATCATGTTAGTAATACAGATGTTAGACTGGGTACCAGCTTTGTCCAAACCACGTTCTTCCCACCCCATCTTTTGTTAGTTTTAGGGCCATCGCAGTAGGCTTTCCTTTTCTTTAATAATTTTAATCATGTGATTTAAAACAAAAAAAATACATTTGTTTGCTTTTGGTTTGCTAATTAATGTCAAATTGTCATCAATTATTGGGTCTCATTAGTGAATTTCCTTGATGTACATTGTTTCCAATTATCTACAATTACACAAAAAGCCTGACTAAGCCATTGTCCTCCAATGAGCTCCAGATGGGCAGAGGTGTCTGTTTCAATGGGAGACCAAGTTCTTTGTGTGTAACTTTGAATACAACATACTGAGCCATATTTTCCGATCTATTTAAGTTTATTTTGTTCTATTAGGAGACTGCATGCAGATTCTCCCCTTAGAGACGAGAGGCGGCTCTAACTTAACTAGCTCTTGAAATTCTTTCTTGCCCTGCCTGCCTCTTCTGCCAGCACAGTGTTGCCTTGCCCGTGTTTGAGGTGGAGTATACTGGATATATCTGGATTCCCCAGGCAAGTTTCTGTTACACCCAAATCTGCCAATAGAGGGCAGCTTCAATTTTGCTGGTTTTAATATAGTCCAGAAAAAGACAAAACTAAGAGTGCTTAAAGCCAGCAGACCTGCAGTGGAGCTTGTGCTTTGGTTTGGCAGGGTTGAGAATTGAGTTGTCTCTGTACTTTTAATATAAAATCACAAATATTATTTTCCTGCCCATTATATTAAAATATTGGGACACTTACTGAAGTAAAAAAATTCTCCTCTTCTTGCTCACAGGCCTGAAAGATATCTTTAAAAAAAAAAAAAAAAGTCAATATATTGTGCCTCTTGGAACTAAGCTTACTTCTACATGTCTGTCACTTAGATGGGCGCCTGCTGTTTGTTACACCAATGGACCCCTTATTTCTGATACTTTACTACCTCATAAAGGCAGAAAAGGAGGTAAGCCTACTTTATTTTTTCACTGCAATTCTCAGGAGAAAACGTTATTTCTGGCTTCACTTTCTGCAGAATTTATGTTAATTTTACAAAGAGAGGCTTCCATAATAATGGAAATTTAATTTGCATTTAAAGCAGAGATATCCACAGTAGAAGTACTTTTGTTTGCATCAGGTTTTTTGGTCAGTAAAGTATGTTCCAGGAGTCAGAGTGCAATCTCAACAAACTCTAATCACTTCCTTTTTAAAAGAAGCAGAGAATCTCTTTTGTCCTTTTGTGAGAGCCTATCCTAGAACTACTGAATTTAAAAGGGTGAGATATCAGAGTAAAATAACTACTGTCCTTTCTGAGGCATCAGTAGATGAGTCATTTTGGGAAAGAAGGGGAAAAGAAAGGGTTTGGATGCAATGGGAGAAGAAGGAGGAATATTTCTGTGACAGTTTGAACTTGAAAGGAAACATTGCCTTTTTAGAAGCAGTATTTGTAGGGATGCTGTATCACAGAACAGCAACGGGATGATCAGGCATCGAAAAGTTGGGTAATTAATAAGTGGCTTAATTGATTTATCATGGGTGTGGCAAAACCTCACTTGAATTTCTGAAGTGTATCAAAAGGCATAGGCAAAGTTACTGACTTATTGTTTATAATCTGCCTGTGGAAAGAAGGGCATAAAATAAAATGTAAACATTGATCCTTGGTTTTTTTTTCATGGAGGCAATAATTTCACTTTATGCATTTCCTTTAACGAGCATTTCCTGTAAGGTTGCTTGCTAGTTTCTGTTTTAGATTGCAAGTGGAAAATGCAGGAGAACAATTTTTGTATGGTGAACAAAAAAAGTCCTACTATACATTTGTAATAGAAACCTATTGTTCTGTAATTATTTTTAAATTATTTATGGTACAGGATGTGCAAACATATTCTGTATTTCTGTGGTCTGTTCCTGCTTCAGGGTGGCCCATCACAAGTCGTTTCACAACAAATAGTTTAGCTCATTCTCTAGGCTGTGCTCTGTTTGAATTCAGCATCCCTTTGAAAGCTTTATACCAAACTTAAATTGGGGAAACAGTAAATCTCTGTCTATGTGGTAGAGTGTTGAGGTAGCCTGAGTAAAGGACAACTGCTGCTGCTGTTTCTGTGCATGGGAAGAGTCTTGTACGGTCCTTTACTTTGTCAGTACTTTGTTTTCTAGGTTTGCTGGTTTTCTAGGCCAGGCAGGATGCCAGATAAATGCATAGAGCTGTTCTGGGTCCTAAATCAGGACAAATGCATTTGTGCAGTGCCCTGCCTAAGTTAGTGTATTTTTCAGTAAAGGGCAGTCTTGAGGACTGTGTTGCAGACACCTTGTGTAAGGCCAGCTTGAATGTAGCACAATCACTTCTGGCTTGAACTAATGGGTATCAAGGTAACCACTGGGTATCTTAGGATCATCCTTTGCACCATCCTGTGTTTTTGATAGTGTGATGCAGGGTTGCTTAGTGTGTCTTCAGAGCAGAGCCATGTCCTATCCAGCAGACTTTCTTGGCTTAGGCTCTGTGCCCCTGCACAATATAAATGTGGCTGTCTTGCTTTGGGACACAGGCAGGTTTATGCAGGTAAGCTATCTATAGGAAACAATTTATTGCAGCTTTACTTCTGTGTCTCATAATATTTTTGCCATTGTTACTGTGCCTTTTTCAGGAGAAAAAAACTTTAAATCTTTTCTGGTTCTTTGTTGTCTTTTTTTTTTTTCTTGTTTTTGTTGTGATTTAACAATGGATGGTTACTTTTATTAAGCCTCTGACTGTCTAGCAAGAGGAATAATTAATAATGAAAGCAGTATACCCAAGTGGGGTTTTTTCATGCTGACCAGTATAATGACTTCAGATTTGGCTCCTGAGACCGTGCACTCCAAGGACGGAGAGCTCGCTGAGTCTTTGTACTGATGCGCTAAAGGATCTTTCCAAAGGGAAGGCTGCCAGTTGTGCCAAACCGTGCTGAATGATTATGCATTGTTTGGCAACGGCAAAATTTGTTTGATGGTTCTGTCATGTGTGGGGCTATTTAAGCTGTGCCAAAATTATTTTATATACATACTCTGGCCAAACTGGAATTGACTTTACAGAGGTGAAAGGTTAATACTGTGTTCCAGAAGCTGCCCTGCTCCTTTGAGATTTATCTTTATGGAAGGAAAAGCAAAATTTAAATGGGAGTTATGACACTGGGTTTAATCCAACAGGTTTTGGTCTCAAACACTATTGGCACAGACTGACTACTGTGTCTTATGTCATCTTCCAAAAAATCCCACTGTACTTCACATTAGTTTCTCCCCATGTTGTTTTAAATTTGGTCTTTTAAGGGCAGTAATTGAAGAGTTCAGCATTTTGCAGGTATTTACTGGTTTGAAGTAAATATTTATAGCTTGCTTTGTAATCAGTTTCTGTATGTGTCATGTGTTACCATTCAAAATATGATCTTCTTTAAATCCTTTCTTTTAAAACTATGACCATTGCATGCATATATATTTCTATATATGTGTAGTGTGTATATGTGTCTTAACATTGTAATAATGCTTTTATAACCCCTTTGATGTATTTTCAGCAGCAAGGAAAGTTCCAGCCACTCGATCAAGTTGTGCTAGACTCAGAGTACCCTAGCTGCCCATTGCTGCTGAAGTGTGCAGATGTTAAACAGTACATACATCATATAACAGAAGAAAAAGGTGAAAAAAAGGGGCTGGGGGGCAAAAAAAGACTGGATTTGTTAGTGTCACTTGATTACAAGATAGATTTAAATATTGCTTTTTGCTTTACCAAACAACCAAGGATGAAGCTGAAGCTGTAGTTTAAAACCAGAAGCATAGGCTTAGAAGTCGTCATTGACATATTGTGAACAGTAATGAGTGGATCTCAAATTATCTGCTGTAACTCTAAAATATTGTGCAGTCTTGTTGCTAGGTGTCATAGAAGTGATAGGCTTATCAGAGCTGGCTTCTTGACGTTGTTATGTGTTGTGAACTTTCTTTGCCTTTTGACGGAAGTTCTACAACTCTCGAAATTCTTTATTTAGTGTAGGATGGTCTGACGTGGAAGAAGTTAACAATTGTCCATTTGGCTTTTTTTCTCCCTTTGTCAAAAAGCATTTGAACAATAAGTAGGAAAAAGCTGCAAAAGAGAGAATATGCTACTGAGGAAGGAGAGCACAAGTTTTCTAGCTTTGCATAATTTAGTGTTGTGGGTTTAAGTTCAAAGACTTAATTTTTTTAAAATAGAAAACTTGATTGGGGTGCATAAGTGTATGAGAGAGAAAACATGAATGGAAAAAAATAGTGAAGTATCAATTCTATACACAGTTTCCTCAACCTTTTGCCAGAATTCCCTTTGGTATGTGGGCTTTTATTTTATTTGAGGGCAATATATGCTTTCTAGGGAAGAGGAAGGAGCTTGGCAGACCTGCAAAAAGATGCAAGACCTCCGTTTTTATATTCAGTCCTTTAAAGAGCATTTTCCTTATGCTTGCTGACTTCCTGATAGTGAATGGAGATTTACCTACACGGAGGTGGAGATCTACAGGAGGAGGTACAGGAGTCTGAGAACACGGAATCTACCACCAAGTGTAAAACAGCTAAGCTGTCTGATCCTTATGTGTGTAGAGCTCTTTCAAGGAGTTGAGGGTTGAGGTACACAGATCAAAAGCCAGAAATAGTAGGAATTTGCTTTCACAAAGCACTTTGTCCTTGTCGTTGATATGTATAAGAAATATTTAGCTGATATCCAGGTAATTGGGAAGTGGCTAAGGAAAGGTCATGGAAGAATGAAATCGCTGCTGAGAAGCAAAACACCAGACCTCTTTATTGCTGTATAGAACATTGAGGGGAGAAGGGGGGGCTCTTGAGTTTTTCCTGAAAGATTTAGATGCACAAGTTTAAGTATTTTTTGTATGATGTGGTGCATATGCAGTAATGTAGGGTAGTCGCTTCCCCTAGAAAATCATTGTGAACTTCAGGGCAGGACACATTTCCGTTGAAGATCATCACTTCAACAAGAGAGCAGGAAATCTGGGCAGTGAGGCTGTTGTTGCATTCTTTCTGGGACTGGGGTAGTTGGGATTATGTGCTGTTGTGATACTCCTGGATTGCAAAAGAACCTTCGGGAAACATTAGTTCAGTATCGTTGGGAGCAGGCAACCTTTTCCTTTGGATGAGTTCTGACTTTTGAGCAGGCTTCTTTAAGATGGATGTATCTGAACTGCAAAACCATTTTTGCTTTCCCATGAAGTGATAAATATTTCCAGTAAAAACTATAATTAAGCTTTTAGGCAATTCCTGTGCCCTACAACTTGTCTAACACTGGCTAAGGAGCTAGGGGTGAGAGGAGGGGTACTAAAGTTCTATGCACCCATCTGAGAAGGTGAAAAATCATGCCAGATCCTCTTGGCTCTCAAACTAAGAAATCTGTATAGGAATGTAGGACAAGGTCTGGATTATTTTTCTGAAGAGGCACTTTCTCCAAACAACAGTGCTGCCTTTGGGGAGTATTTATGTTCCCTTCCTAACAGCAAAATGAAAATTAAAAAAAAAAAAAAAAAGTATTTGCTATAGACAAGGTCTTAAGTCTTGATCTAACCTCTGTATTCATTCTGAAAGTGTATTTACAGTTGTTATCTATCAGAGCATCCTCTGATAAACTGTATTCTGTTAGACAGTAGTGAAGATGCTTTACTGCTTTTTTTTTTTGCATTGATGTTTTTTAGTAATGTATTATGTACAACCATAAGTTTTTGTCATTTGGCCAGCAAATTATATTAACTGTTAAAGAAGTTATGTTCACTTCCTAGTTTTTGTTTGGAAATGTAAGGTAAAAATTGCTTTTGTCGTTAAAGCTGTACACACATGCACACACCAGCTGTATGTGATGTTCTTGGATGTCACTAGGCATGTACCTGCATGCACCTGCTGCATCTTTTCTCGTTCAGGTTTGGGTTGGGTTGAAAGTAACAGTGGGGCTTGTTCTTAGTATTTCTTTCTCTTTTTTTAGAACACCAAGCATATTGTTATGCAACAAACACATTGGCGCTTGCTTGCCTGTCATGCGCAGATCACCTTTCTGTTCAATCCACTTCTATGTGTTTCATATTCTCATGTCTTTTTATTGCCTGTAAAAAATACCAATATTATGACTAAGGTACTCTTTTCTAGCTCTTAGGCTACAAAGTGGACAACAGGTCTTTTCTCATTTAAGGAGTAGGGCTTTAGGGCAAGAAGTATCTGTTGTGTTGTCTTCTGCAGCTCTGATCTGTTTGGCAGAACCTAACAATATAATTATTTCGCTCTTAATTTAATCTTAAGGCATTTAACATCTGTCTAAGAAATTCTTACCCTAGAGTGCTCACGGTTTACATTACTGAATTAGCAGAAAATCCACCTTCCCTGGCCTTGGTGTTGAAGACCACTGAAAATTCATTTTGCTGGATTAAATTCCCAGTTACCTGCTTTGGTAGTTGGGGAAAGGGTAGGTTACAGCTCGCTAAATCTGGGTGAGGCAGATTGTTTGCTAATAAATTCAGACATCAGCTAGAAAGTACAATAAAGAAGGTTATGAATTCCAGTTCTAGAGTGTTACTCTTTGTTTCATTTTTCAAGGCAAAAACTGCACTGTGATCTTGTCTGATGTGATTAACATGAAGAGCCAAGAAAACTTACCTGATTAGAATAACTAAGTAATATTGCCAAGCTTGTATTCCCAGAAGGTAGGAAAAAAGGGGCCATATGAGTTTCAGAGTTATGGAAAACACTGAGAAAATGGATGTTAAAATGTGCTTTAGGCAGTTTGCTCAACAATACATCAGGGAAACTTCCAAGTCTACATAGCGATTACCCGATCGCTGAACATATTATTTAATTGTAGAACCACTTATATTCCATCTGTATTTCTCAAACCCAATCTTTCCAGATGTCTCAGACCAGTTTTATAGGCACCAGACACATTAGGGAACAAAAGGCTTTCCAATATATACTCATATTATCAAACATAGTCGCTAACTCCCACCAATATCAAATGTGCATCACATGTTAAATCCACGTTCCAATATTGAATCCTTTTGTCAGCAGTTTGTGACTTTCATAACTCACTTTAATTCTTCAGAGGTCTCAAATATTGTCAGTTTCTAGAGTTTAATAGTCAAAACTGTCAAGCACACAAAATATTTTCAAACAAAGTGATCTCTGAAGGGTTCAGTGTAATTATTTTTCACATGTTTTAATGAAAATGGCTTCACAGTTCTACGTTTCCTTTCCCTAACTGAGTCACGCTGAATCATGCTGTTGTCGGGGAGTCTGCCTGGGAATCTGGACCAGAATTACTTTTCAGCATGGGTTTGGGGAGCGTGGCCAGAGGATGCCCCTTCCTCGAACTTCCTTAGATAAGAGAGGAATCCACAAATTGTACTCACTGTACTTGGACCCAAACCATGTTAGCTCTTTGAGAAGCAGGTTCAAGTATCCAGAGCGTCTCCCCAGTTTTCTGCTTCTTTCAGAGCCGTTTAGGAGCTTCTAAGTCCTAAAGGCTGCAGCCAGAAGTATCACAGCTAATTACTTTACCTGCAACTCATCAACTTCATCAAGTAAAGTGTATATTAGTGTTTTCTTTCCTTTTTGCTCTGAAGAATATTTTGCTTTTTACTTTTCTACAACTGTTGTGATAGATTTAAACTTTTTCCCGTAAACAGCTTTCCTCGACCTCTCCATACCCCTACCATGCATACACAAAGAGGACATAGTAGTTAGTTGTTTGTATGCAATTTGAAAGAGCCAAGATAAACCCCAAAGAACAAAATGCTGAAGGAATCATAAATAATATGTTGTTGTTTGCAAGGGGAGAAGGAAACTCCATGAACTGAGTGTTGGAATATGATACTGGATCAGTAAATGACATGAAACAGATGTAGGTATTTATGGGAATGGTATACAGGAGATTCAAACTTACTGAAATACCTGTTAAAGAAAAAGACTGAAACACAGTGGGCTTTAAAGTCTCCTGTGAAATCTTACTAGTAATTTCATTCCATTTCCGAAATGTATCTTTTTGTGAATTAATACTGAATTTTTATACAGAAATTTCCATGAGCTTTTGTAGTTTTCTCTCTCCTTTGCCTCGGCATTGTGAACTCACATATCTCTAGATAACTGATCACATGTGAATAACAAGTGTTCATGATACCTAGTTATCACAGGGGAAGCACTTTCTGAAATTCTTATATCATTGAGTTAATTTATGTTGCTCAATAAATCATAAACTAATCATGTGCTTCCTCCCACAAGGAGTGTGTTTCACTATTTTGGATTCTGTATTTTCTTTTGACACTATATTATGCTATGTAAGAGGGGAATAGAAGTAAAACTTTTGCTTTAGACACCCTGTGAAGTGAGAGGGAAGAACTGATAGGAAAAGTGTTTATTGAAAGGGTGGATGGTTTGTCTTCACTAACCAGCTCTTCGTCCTGCCCCCTTACTAGGTACTGGAATTCAATAAGTAAAGATTTAAGATACTATGTTTTTAAAAAAAAAAAAAAAAAAAAAAAAAAGCAGTCATGGAACTGACATTCTGTGTTGTGAACTACGTAGTTAAAATGACCAGTTTGGTGACACAGGGCAGTGAAGGTTTGGCAAACTACGAGGGCTTGAGAAGAGTCTTAGTGAATTCAGGCAGCCCAAGATTAAACATAAATAAATAAAATATGTGCCTTGCTGGATTAGGGCCTAATTAAAGAATTGTCAAGTCGATCAGACTTGTGCCTATCAGCTCAGTCTGTTTATTCTTCTACATTTCCAATATTTTTGAAACTTACTGCCCTGATACCAAACATGTGCAAGCTGCAAATTAACTTTCATGCTGTATCTACAACTTAAAAGGTTTCAAATGTATTGAAAATGCAATCCAAACAAGTCATGACTTTTTTCCCCTTACTTGTTTTTCCTCAGAGATTGGCAGTCAGAAATTTCACAAATACAGCCAAGAGAAGACACTGAAATGGTTAAAGAAAAAGGTACAGTGTTTCTCTTTTGCTTTCAGAATTGCTTTGTGTTTAAAATGAAAGTGCTTATTAGCTTGTTCATCTCTGCATTTGAGCCATGTGGTGTGCCTCAGTTCTAGGTAGTGTTCTGTCCAAGAAGGACAGACATAACAGTAAAGTTGTTGCACTTGGGAATGTGATGAGGTACTAGAGAAATGACAAGTGTGTTATGTTTCTCTTTCTGGCTGGGCTGGCATGAAAGGGATTCATGGAGTGTAAGGGAGGCAGAAGCAGCAGCTGAAGTTCAGTTTATTGCTGTGTTCTGTAGGCTTTGCATAAGGTGAGGAGCTTGTCTTTTGCTTTGTCCACGGATGGGCTAGAGGAGAGCTTTGACTGTTGCAACTTTTAAATTCTGCCATGCTTTAAAAGCTGGACAGAAATGCCTTGGTTTTGTGCTACAAACGGGTTTCCTCGTGAAGTTTTGGCAGTCTCAGAATGGTCCTGGTATGGTTGCTGCTATCCTGATCCAGTCACACTCTTCAAGAGGTCTGTACAGTACGCAGAAAATAAATTAGTGGTATAGCTAAGCTTGATGTGGTCTATGTTTTGGTGTAAAGAAGGCAAATCTCACTTTATGCAGGCAACACGTGCCCCTACTATGATGCTGCTTTGTAGAAAAAGATTGTATGTATCATGTGATACAAGGAAGCTTTGTCATTTAAATTACTCAACACAAGCATAAAATCTGGTCTGCTTCTGCAGTGATGAGGCATGGGAATATCTATTTTGTAATGAATACCTGAATATTTACATTTGAACAGGTACCTGTTTGTGTTGTTGATCATATCTTCTGCCAATTATCTCTCTGTCAGATCCAGTATAGTAGTGCTTTGGGAAGTCCTTAGTCTTTGATTTCCATCAGGACTGCCTTTGCAATCCAGCTGAGCTCAGGCATTCGCTGTTCTCCGAGCAGGTGTATTTCTCACCTGTATAATCATGGTGGTTGCATCTGAGTAGCTCAGCTCATCTTAGGGTGCTGCAAAACTGGTGCTGTGTTGCCAAGGCAACCTGTTCAAAGACATGCTAGTTTCTTTAGGATTTCTGAGCTCATATGCTTGTCGTTACAAATGTATATTAAATTTCACCACAGTCCATAACTTGAGTGTTTTATATGCTTGAAACAAAATTACAAGAGCTTTGTCACTGCATTAACATGTGCATAACAACACTGATACAGACATTTCATTCTGTGGTTTCCTATAGGTCAATCAAACAGTGAAAGCACTTAAAAGCAGCAATATATGTGTAGGTGAAAGGGTACATGCAGCTACATTTATCAGCGGTAAACAGATCACAGATACTGAAGAAGGTAAGAAAACTAAGCATTGTAATGAATTCCATTTTTGTGAAATCGCATACGTGGAGATAAAACACATGATTAGAATCTAAAATGTATTGAAATTGGCCTTTGCAGTAAATTTATTCCTAGTACAGAAAATTCCATGTACGTTGTGACTGTGCCTTGAGTTTTCTGAGTTCTTTGGTATCTTCATCGGATGATGTAATTAACAGCAGGTCTCAGCTGGGGTTCTTTTAGCTTTGCCTTAGTTCAAGGAAAAGACATTTTTCTCTGTGAAATATATGCTGAAATACTTTGCTGAACTGAGACCGTCTTGGACAATAGTACACATGCTTATAATACATATAAGTATCCAACCAATAAGTGTCTCTGTATTAGAACAGACTTCTTTTTAATTATTTTTTTATCAGTATGCAAATGCTCTTCATAGAACTCTTCTAAAAAGTCTGGAGTGATCCTGTTTGCTTCTAGTCACCTTTTCCCTGAGGAGGGCAATGTCCTGAACATTACTGGGATATGAAGTTGTGTGGCGAAACCTGAAAATGGACTCAGAATAAATTCTTTGAATGTTAATGAAATTTAAGAAAATTTTAGAACTAGGCGAACAAAAGAAAATTGGTTCTTATACAAAGACATTCAGAAGGCTGCATGCCATTGAAAAATAAAGGAGAAACAAAGCAACTTGCTGACCAAGTGGAAAATGAGTTACCAAGTAATGATATCAAAGGAAACAACATAAATGAGATTTAAGAGGCAACTAGACGGTTTTATAGAATAGAGTTTGTAATACACGGTTTTTAAAAAGAGGCAAAGCTGCAAAGCTTGTGACTTTAACTTTACAGTAGCTTTTCATCCTTTTCCCCGTCCCCATTTTTTTAAAGAAAGGGAAAATTGTCCTGACAGCAACTATCTTGACTATGCTTAAATACTTTATCTCTGAAATTTGTAATTAAATAGCTCATCTGCGGTGTTTTTTCCACCTTCCTTCCACTTACAGTAACATGGATATAATAGTCTTTTAAAAAGCCTTTTTTAGATTTAAAAGAGCAGCGTCAAAATAGGGAATACTGGGGGTTAAAAATAGGTAAGTTTTGGAGACAGTCCCACTGTATGTAGCAAGGTGAATGACAGGAAGTCAAATGGACCTTACTCAACACATTTATTTTTAATAAGACTAATTTTCTTGTCTGATCCTTTCACCACCGTGACAGTGCAATTTATTTCTGTAGAGAATTGCTTTCATAGGGGTATTATGAAATTTCAGTACCTTATAAATAGATGGGTATATGTAGTTAGCATCTACAGATGTTGCAGAGCAAAAATCTGGGAGGATATAATGAGTGGTAATGGTGAAGGAGTGGAGGTTTAACATGTGAGACCTGAATATTTCATTCAGAAGACAAAGAAGGGAGGTGCGCAAGTATTCCTGATGTTTGACAGGAGGTTAATAACAAAGCAAGGCTAGGGTGAGAACACAGACTCCCTAGAAGGCAAACAGTGGTATTTTAAGGTTGATAAAGGAAGTCAGTGAAGATTGCTTCAAGGCAGAAAGGCAAGGAGAATGGATTTTGTATTTAGTAGAAAATAGCAGGTGACTTGGACTCACCATCCAGTGTCATAATGCAAAGAGTGAAATGATGGGAATATTTTTCTTAAGCGATAAATTGGACATATTAAGTACTGAGGTGAAATTGTCTTGGATTGGAATTATTTCTTGTTTTCTCCTGACCCTAAAGTGGGCTCAGGGAGTGACAAATCCTTGATGAATCTAGGCAGTGGAGGAAGTAGAAGTGCAGAGAGCAGATACTAAGAATTTCATGTCAGTATAGTTGAAACAAATATGCTGGTGTCAGTTTGTTAATGCTTTCTGCTTCAATGCCAGTTTGCATTGGGCTTTTTAGATTAAAAAAAAAAAAAAAAAGAGGAAACTGTCTCTGGCACAGAAGAAATAGTTCTTTTCCACCCTGAGGCTAGTTTACCACATGCTTCTGAACTTTCTAAGTGCGTAGGCATATGAACAAATAGAGCTGGCCTGTTGTAGATGGAATTCAGAGGTGAGATTTTAGCATAATGTCTGTCTGGCAAATACTTCCTATGCATGGGTGCACTTACTCCCTAGTAGCCCCAACAACAGTAAGTTTAAAAGATCCAGCCCATGATCAGTAAGTGCTTGTGTAGAACGTGATAGGAAAAGATCTGGTTTAGGACTTCATGTTATAAAAGGGTCACTTTTTTTTCCCTGGTCTCTCAGAAAAACATTTATAGCAGGAGTGCCCTGTACTGAAAACAGCTTCTAGTAGTTCATATTTCCACAGATAATTATCCTGTCTTGCCAGTGATGTTTAGATAGGCCTTGGCATTTTCCATAAAGTACTGAAATTAAGTACAAGACTTTGAAATAGACTCATTGTCTCATCTAATTGTTTTCAGTTGAAGCCAGAAAATGTACTTTAGTACTGAAGCCCTTGCCAAATAATTGTAAGATCCAGATGCTTTAAAATTAATGATTGCGTGTTCTGTTGAGTCAGCTTTTTACTTTTGCAGGTTTTTAAAATTTAATTCCTTCGGAAAAATACATGATATCTAGTATTCTCAGAAAGTGAACAGCTTTTGTAAAGTACATACAGCAGATATTAATAACATGTGCTGACAAAGTGAGTATAGTAAGTCTTTACTTTTTAAATAAACCTACAAGTGTCATATAACATAAACTATTCAACACAGAGAACTATCACAGTGTGTCCATTAGAAGTCTCTTACTATTAATTCAACCTTATGATTTATGGTAGTGCATGCAACATGGCTAAGGCAACGTGACTATATAATGTGAATGTTCTTTTTCTTCTCCTCTTTGCTCCCTGCCCTGTTCCTGAAGACTATGTACGGTATGCCCATGGGTTAATATCAGAATATATTCCTGAAGATCTGAGTAAGGAGTTGTTAAAATACTTAGGGTAAGTATTGTTCCAGCTAGCTGCTAGTTTTATGTGGCATGCATTAACGTCCTTTTGGTCATTTCTATTGAATACTGAGATTTGTTCATCAAGGTTGCAGTGAATGACACAAGATTATATTTGCCACACTTTAAATGTGATTTTTTTTCAATATAGATTATGCCTTTCTGTTGTTCCTATGATGCTAAGGACCAGGGTCTAGAAGAGAGATGCAATATATAAATCTGATATGTATGTTATCACAGTTGTATCAAGAAACCCTGAGCAATCTATCCCATTTTAAAGCAAGGTGGGGAAGGAGATCCAAAGAGTTGAAGCAATTTGTCCAGAATTGTCAAGCACGAGCAGCAGAGCCAGAAGTAGAATCATAGAATCATAGAATGTTTTGGGTTGGAAGGGACCCCTAGAGGTCATCTAGTCCAACCCCCCTGCAGGAGCAGGGACACTGCTAACTAGATCAGGTTGCTCAGAGCCCCGTCCAACCTGGCCTTCCAGGGATGGGGCCTCCACTACCTCTCTGGGCAACCTGTGCCAGTGTTTCACCACCCTCATTGTAAAGAATTTCTTCCTTATATCTAGTCTAAACCTACCCTGGTTTAGTTTAAAACCATTACCCCTTGTCCTGTCACAGCTGGCCCTACTAAAAAGATTTTCCCCATCTTTCCTATAGGCCCCCTTTAGGTATTGAAAGGCTGTAATCAGGTCTCCCCGCAGCCTTCTCTTCTCCAGGCTGAATCCTCATCCCCAGTCCTCTTTCTGTTTCCCTACTCACTCAGTGCTGTTGGGGTTTGACTTCACATATGTAACCTGTGTTAGTTTGTATTTAAATCTGGAAGGTGAGCCAGCATTCTTATCCTGGTGTTCCCTGCCAGCAGCAGACTTTGCTTGGAGCATCACTAGGACACTGCATCTGCCCCTCAGTTCAGTTATGTTCAAATAGTTCTGTTGTAGTGGCCTGTGGGAAAAATGTGCAATTTGCAGCTTGAAGTCCTGTAGCTTAACAGGTCCACTGAAGAGATGTTACGTGCTTTATAATGTCATCTTACTAAAAGCCGAGGTTTTGGAAAGTGAGGTGGAGTTTTCCTGTTTTGGTTGCCAGATCTAAGAACTTTAAAAGACCCTGTGTTTCTGTATCATAGAATCAAAGAATACGAGGTTGGAAGGGACCTCAGGGATCATCTGGTCCAACCTTTCTAGGCAAGAGCACAGTCTACACAAGATGGCCCAGCACCCTGTCCAGCTGCGTCTTGAAAGCGTCCCATGTGTCAGAGTCAACCACTTCCCTGGGGAGATTATTCCAATGGTTGACTGTTCTCATTGTGAAAAATTTTCCTCTCGTGTCCAATCATAATCTTCTCAGGATTAACTTGTACCCATTAGCCCTTGTCTTTTCCATGTGACTCCTTGTGAAAAGGGAATCTCCATCTTCTTTGTAGCCACCCTTTAAATACTGGTACACAGTGATGAGGTCACCTCTGAGCCTCCTTTTCTCAAGGCTGAATGGTGCCTGGCTCTGTTTTAGTTATCTAAGTCAGAAATACAGAGTCCATGAGCTGCTTTTTTTGCAAACACGTGCCATGTGTGAGCAGCTGATAACCAAAGCAGCCTTTGTGGGGAAGGAATCACAAGCTTTATATTGTGCAGTCCAGCTTTCTTAATTTATAACTTAAAATCTTTTGTTCTACAGGCTCCCAGAACTTAAAAGCCCAGCAGCAGAGCCACCACTGAAGGTAGGAGAACATTAAGATATTGACAGATACATTGTGTTGTGAGCTAATTTCCCTGAATTATTACTAAAATCATGCTAGGCCAAGCACTGGGTACAATGCAGTATGTTGGCCTTGCAAAAAGCCAGTCTGAAATAACGCAAGAAACTTACCAGGTATTTCATATTTTTTAATAAGGAATATTTTGGTTGGTTTTCCTGTTTAAAAAAAGAGAGAGAAAGAGAGAGACTTACTTTATGGTTTTGGTCAGCAGTCAGTCTTTTCATATGTATTTTGCTTATTTAGTTTTATTGAGGTTGATGGGACAATATGACCTCATAGGTTTTCTTTCATATGTAATTTATGAGGACCCTGAAAGGGAGCTTCTGGGTCATGGATTCCCAGACAACCATGTTGGATAATCTCTCATACACTGACCATTCTTCACTGTAAGTCTCATTAGGATTTTTTTATTTCCATTACTTCTCTTGGAAGACTGTTCTATAACCTCATTCCTCTGATGCTCAGAAACATTCCTGTAAATTCCACCTTGAATTTATTCAGGGCCAATTTATTCCCCTGCGCATTTGTGCTAACATTGTCATTGGGTTTTTTTAATTGAAATGGCACTTTTCCCTCCCTAACATTAGTTCTCCCATTGTGTAAAGGGAAAATGTACATCCTTTCTGTTTTCATTTTGTGAAGCCAAACTTGGTTGTGTAAGATGGGTTCTCCATTCCCTCATCATTGCAGGAACATTTCTTTACACCTATTCCAAGATGAATTCAGTTGTTTCAAAGCAGGTGACCAGAATAATGTATAATTATTCATGATAAAGCCTTTACTGGTACAATATGATTGCATTCTTCCCTTCTTTTCTTAACTGGAAGTACTTTATCTCATTACATCTTAGAATCCCATTTGCCTCTATTACTGTGTGATGTACCAGATAGCTCACAGGCATGCTGTGAACAGTTAAGACACACAGTTGTTTTTTTTTTCTCCACTGCAATTTTTAGTTGATCAGCATTCTGATTTATGAGAAATTTGTGCAGTTAGCTGCTGTGTACATGACCTTGTACTTCTGTACATTTTGTCCGTTTTTAATGTTACCAGTCTTAAAGGTTCTCTGGCTTTTCCTTCATAGTGTTAAAAGCTCTTTAGGTATTCATAATGCTACTCAGTGGTGTGCATTCAGCAAATGTTAGCATGCTGTTATCTTTAATTAACAATTAACGAACATTTTGAATAGATAGTTCATGGCACTCCACTAGTAATCTCCACCCGATCCAATGACATCCCTTTCTGCATTATTTGCCTTTGTTTCCCTTCTACCCAGTTTCTTACCTACCTTAAAGTTCTTGCGCTCTCTGTTTTCTGTCATTTTGGTTGCTTAAGTGGCACCATGTCAAGTCCTCTGGCAATCCTTCACATTTTCTGTCACCAGAATTTGTGTTATCTTTGAGAAAAAAAGGTAAGTCAGTAGTCATTGCCTATGCGTAGTTTTTATTTACTCTATGTCTTTAATTATTCTTCCTTCTTTCACTATTTCTCTCCTCTCCATTCTGCTGAGGCCTACTATCACTTTTTCCCCCTCCTTACATATAGATGGGTGCTTGGCTAGTCTGCAGCAGTATGGTCGCTACCTGATAGAACAGTTGCAAGGTTTTGCTTCTGGACTTGTGATTTCTGAGGTAGCCTCCCAACAGTGTCAGCATATTGAGTTTAACTTCTATCGAAAAGAGTGGTTTCTATTCCCTTTTCTGCCCCTGTGTTTACCCTCTTCATCTTTATTGAAAACGATTTACTGAGGCAAAGGATTTATTCCATTTTGGGGCTACACATAAATTAGCTTTAATAAGTGTCAAATCTTTACTGTATAGCAGCTTCATTTTTTTTCTATTTTTTGATTCCCTTTTTGTCTCTGTGGCTAAACAACCTTCTGCTATTTATTTTAATTTCCTTTCCAAGGTCTAACGCAGCTTGACTTTTTGGCAGTTCTCACTTTATCCCAGTATTACCTGACCCCTAAAACAAATATTTCTTTTTTTTTTTTTTTTGGCAGTCTTTTTTCCCCATTCATTGTAGAATTCTGCTTACTCCTAGCATCTTTTTTTTTTTTTGGGGGGGGGGGGGGGGGGCTAAATCAAACATGTACATCTGTGTGAGCAAGGGGAGCATTCATATAGTTTAGTCTGAGAAGCTCTTTCCTTCCAGATTTTTCACCTTGTTTGAAGTAAAAGATCCAAACTCACTTCTTCCGTCTTTTTCTTCTATGTTCCAAGTGTCCTCCTTGCACATCAAATCCCTTTGCTTTGGCTTAGAGAAGTAAGGCATATGGTTTGCAAAGTTTGCCCCTGTAGAATAAAGAACCCCACTTTTGATTATCCTTTCTATTTAATTTAAGCTGAGGCACCCTATGTCTACTGAAGCTAGGTTACTTACTGCGCCGACCTTTCCTGCAATGTCCCTGCTACTTACCGAAACAGTCTAAAATAACCTTGTTTCTGGCTGGTTCAGTGACTGTTCTGTTAAGCAGTATGTCAGCTAGCACATGCAGGAATAATTGGGCCCTACTGTTATTAATAGCATTTGTTCTCCAATGTATATCCATGGATATAAGTTATTTCCATGTGGTTGGACAGTTGTTCTGGCTGCACAGTTACTTGGCCCTTTGATTCAGTTAAGAATTATCTTTATGCATTGTAAGAAATATTAAACACACATCAGGAGCCAACTGATATTCATTAGCCATATAAGCATGTTACAACAACTATATTAAACTACATGTGATGTACATTACATATTATGTACGAATAGCTTTTATACCATTGGGATAGTTCTGAGAATCTATTTTTAAAAATAGTTTTATTTCAGCAGTTTGGTTACAGAGGAAATGAGGCTTAGAACTGTTCAGTTGTTGGGCAGTGAAATCTTGCTGAGGATCTGATTAATTTCCAGATCACTGACCAGGGTGTGTATGATGCTTCTGTGTTCAAGTCTTTGCAACTTCAGAGATTAAAACCTGCCTTTATTTCACAATCTCAGAGGAGCAAGGCAGGCTTGTACACTGGAACCTATAGTCTCCCTCAGACCATTTTTATTCGCTTCCACTGGCATTTCTCTTCACGAGGGCAAGGTGCATTGACAGACGTAGTATAGGATTATTGCAAATAAAGAAGGGTCTGACATGTATTTCCTATTATGGTAAAGCAATTGCATGTTTAGAAATTATGTTAAAATAAATTCTGAAGGGAGGAGAGATTTAGAAACCTAAGTGGTTAACAGAAGAGCTACAACAGATTCTCTCTTCTAGTACAAGAGTAAACTGGGTACAATCTGGGCTCTGCGATTTAATGATTAAATCAAAATGACATGTTCTCTGTATTAATTGTAAGCCATTGATCTTGTGTTGTAATTATCATACTGCCCAGTTTGTCAGCGCAGGGAGTCTGGCCATTGGCAGACGATGACAGACATCTACAAAGAATATGTAGGCTCTGCTACAACTAAATAGCAAATGTTTTGCTGAAATGCAAACATTTTCTTGTAAGTTTTAAAAACTTGTTTATCAGATTCCCAAAAGAGAATAGTAGTTATTCATTAGATTGTCATTTGAAAATGTAATCACAGCACAGTAAACAGCCTCCTAGAGAGGCTGATCCAGATCCCTTTGAAATCAAAAGAAAAGGCTGCTGTTGGATCTGGTTCTAAGAGCTGAGAAATCTAAGCTGCAGACCTGGCTTCTGTGCCAAAGAGGGAGAGAGGAAGGGGGAGAGAGAGAGATCACAAGCACCATAAACAAAATGAATAAAACAGGATCTTAAAATGTATGGTACCATCCAAGTTGCTTGCAAAATCACTCTCTTTGGCACAAAAACTAGGAAGGCCACAGTTTAGATTTCACAGGATATTAAGGACAGGGTAGTAATATCAGATATATAATAATAATAAAAATACGGTGTTACGAAGTACTATATACTTTTTTTTTTCCCTTTTGGAAACATACCAGGAAGTTTTCACCTTTAAACTAAACACATGCTCACAGTTTATGGAAAGAAATATTCATTCTTACAGCCCAATCATGTGAAGTGCCGAGAACCATTCACTTCCATTATTTCTGAAGGTAGAAGACACCCAGCAGATGCAGAGTCAAGCTTCTTAATGTACTGTTGGATCCAAGTGATGAAGCAGTCAGCAGAACTATGTCAGTGTTTCACTGTTGCCAAACTGTAGAAACTAATTACTTCTAAAGGTTGTGCACAAACAGATAATAGACTAGGTGATGATCCACTTGTGTTGGCAGGCAGCAATAACACTGGAGTTGCGGCACAGTTCCATGAGACCACGGGGACCAGAGTCTAGGTTCCCTGGCTGTTAGACACTAACTTCCAACAGCTGCTCCATAAAGGTTCCCTAAAAAGACTCTGACACCAAAGTCACAATCATGGAAGTTAGAAACGGGATGTAAGTGATTCTTCAGAAGGCTAGGAAGAAGAAAATGCTCCCCAAGACACTGAATGATCTCTTCTGAATACTGTAGAGATGGTATATATTCACGTGTAAAGAAGACAATTACAAAGAAAAATCTTCCACTGTTACTGCAAATTCTTCAGTTGATTGCCAGTCCTGTTTTGGTGCTATGGTTACATTATAAAGCCAAAGCTTTTAAACTTCCATGTGTGTACATCATAAAAGTGGTTGACAGAGCAACTTCCTCACTCTAACATTTCAGAAAAGGAAGTTATCAGATGTTCCTGTGGAAGCAGAAGAAGATTATACTAAGTTCAACAGCAGCAATCTGAAAACCAAAAAGGTAAGCAAGCCTTGCATTCATGCATGTTTTGCTAAAGCATAGGTTAATATCAAACATGAGCACAGAGTGCCTGTTTTCCTCCTTTAAAACACATTAGAAAAACAACTACAAAATGCCAACTGTGTGTAGTTATATCTCCTTGAACTTTTCATTCAGGTTTTATTTGACTTTGATAGTCTCCATGTCCCATTCTGAACTCTTCTATATTCTTACCGTTTGACTGTATTTTATCAGTGAAAACTCCAGTGAACCTCACAGACTTTGACACGTGTTAAAGCGCTCAGTTAATGTTTGCAAAGCTCTTTGAGATCTTTATATGAGAAATCCTGTGGCTTAGTGGTAGCAACTCTTAAATTTCAGTTATTTGAAAAAGAAACAAAGATGGCAGCATTCACTTAAATTCCAAGGGATGCTAAGACAGGCTTTATTTTTACCTAGAAATATTGCTTGTGCGCTTACTTACGTCAACTTAATGAAGTTAAATCAGCACAGAGCTTGCTGATTGCCAGCTCCAACGCAAGTTTGGAGGCCAATTCAAATCTGAGTCCAGTGGTGCCTGCCACTGTACTATTCCTAGGAGAGTAACAGAGATGTGAAAAGAAATAGATTCTGTCTGTGTGTGCCAAAGTTGTGAGGCTTGCACTGGCTTATTTCTCTGAACATTGAAAGAAAATGAATCCTTCTCCAGTCCATTGGGAACCAAAAGGGCCCTCTGTGTTGGTCTGGTGACCTTCAGACTAATGCTGACTACTCTTTATCCCTTTGCAAAGATAAGCAGCTGGTGACAGATGCATTCCTTCCTCCCCCCAGAACCTCCAGAATTTTTTGTATTCAGGGCACGTGCTAGTTTTGAAGTAAAAAGAGGATTGCCCCCTAAGTGAAGGTGATAAATAGTTTAAAATATGCATGTCTCCTCCCTTCACCCATTGTGTACCTATAGCTTTTGAACTGAGCACAAAGATGGAAATAGGCTGAGGAGAGATAATTCCTTTTAACATTAAATATGATTTACTTCTGAAATAATGAAGCACATTGATGAGAGAATCTGGGAAAGAAAAGATAGCTCTTGGACTCTGTACAGTATACTACTCTTTTTAAAATACTTTGGCACTGGTTTTGTTTGTATAGTAACACAGACGATCATACTGTTGTTGCCTATCTCCATCCTATCCATAACCCTCTAGCTGATCCCAAGTACTGTAGTTGGGAAGTCCTGCAGACTGAGGAGTGTCATAAAAAAGGTCAATGCAAAGTTTTCTTAATAGGGAAAACAGCTAGAGACTTAAACTGTAACATTTTGAATTATAAGAAAGAAAAGAGGTCAGTTCCATAAAACGTGGCTCATAAAATGTGTTTTAGGTGTAAAAGTCTGGGAAGTTGTCCCAGTGGCCTCAAAGTGCTTTGCAAATGTTAGTTACCTTCTTCATTCTTAGTTCTTCCTTCTCTTTTCCCTTTATTTCACTGTGTGTAGTTTTTGATAATAAATCAGTGTGAATTATTCATCATCTGTAATGCAAGGCTGTAATTCAGCCTGCTGACAGCATAATCATGAGATTGAGTTGGAGGGTACAGTATGCATCTGTTATATTGCATGCATTATTCCTCTTAATGTACACTCAGGGATTATCCCAAAGTAAACGTTTGAGTTGGGATACCTCATTCTGCAGAAAGCAAAGATGTTTCACCTCCTTGTCCTTGTAACTGATTCTCTGTCTTTGTCTGCAGTTAAGTAATTTGTGACAAGTATTTTTCTGTTTGAATAATCTCAAATTTGTTTAGTACGATTTTTCACCTACAATTTAAAGCCTGCATAGCATTATCTTCACTGCTGTGTACTAAAAAAGCAATTTGACTTCTTGCTTGACTTCTGTAATTAGGAGTTTGTAGCTTATACTCCCCTCCTATGGAGACGCTGCTTAACTTTTTCTGTTTATCATTTCACTAACAGGCAAACAGCAAGATGACTGCAGCACAGAAGGCTCTGGCCAAAGTTGATAAGAGCGGAATGAAATCCATTTCTACTTTCTTCAGCTCCAAACCTAAAGCATCAAAATAAAGACTTGTTTTTGAAAGAGTTTTATACAGCGGTTATTTTATGTTAAGCTAAAGATGTCTCCTGGGGTTTTTTTTGTTAGTATAGTATATGCAGGGCATGTCTGTGTACATGGTGGAGCGTGATGAAGAGAACTGTGAGCTAGCGTGGGACAGAGCTGCTATGCCTTAGTGGGACAGATATTCCAGCCTGGGTCAGGAATACAGCCTACCTGCGTTAGCGTGGCCCCGTGAGCTGAGAAGTGAGGTTTAATGTGGTACCGTACCGTAGTGCTGCTTGTTCTAGAGCAAGCTCAGTCGGGGCCACCACAGTTTTCTCTGTTGCACTCCATTCTAGGCTGGTAACATGCCCTTCTTTGAGTTTTTAAGGAGAGTTTTTTCATTCATAAGGAGCATTTTTTTTTTGAGACTTTCTGGAGACTTTTCTTACCCCATATAACACCAGAGTACCATGGCATTGTTAGATTTTTATGTTGACCCAAATCTGAGTGCTGATGTAAGCATTGCTGTTGGTGGCGATTTATTGAGGCAAAGATAGTGCCTATTACTGGGATTTTGGTTGTTCTGAATATACTAGAAACAAATTGCAATAAATGTCAATGTGCATATAATGCAATAAAGTGCTTTGTGTAACAAATTTGTGCTTATTGTATTTGCTGTACGTTTCAGGAGTTAAATTAGGCTTCAGGAGATTTCTTAAGGGGGTTTGGTATTTTCCTGTGCATAAATTTTAATCCTTAAAGCATTACAACATCACTTCAGGCTTACATGATAAATCTCTTAACACATAGCAATATAGGGGTATTTTTATGTTCAGTTCTAAGGTCAGT